CCTAAGTTACTAGTTACTAAGGTTCTTGAAAAATGACTATCAGACTTTGAAAAGCTGGTATCACTGGATCATGTTCAACAATTTTGTTGAATTAATGTTAACTAAAAAGGTTTTTAAATTGAATTTTGAATAAATGTGCAATTAATTGTTAGTTTTAAAATTTACTGTTACTATCTTCCTTCCGTCGTGCAAACCATCCAGTCACATGACCCCCCAGCCACACCCACCAGGCCACGCCCACAGAACCAGTAGTAAAAAAAATGAATTCCACCACTGGGTAGGGGGCACTGAGGACCAGTTTGTAGCACCAAGGAGGTGGTGGACTGAAAACGTTTGGGAACCACTGGTCTAGATGTTGCTCCCATGAACTATAGCTAGCATGGCCATTCACCATAGCAGAAGGGACGATGGAGCTTGTATTGCATTCAAATTTAATGAGTTCATATGCTGACTGGTTTTTCAGAATTCAGCCTTTTGATAAGTAGGGAACAGCCTGAACAAACCAGTGTAGCAGTATCTAAGATGGTAAACAGTATTCAGTGGTTGGTTCCTTGGGATAACCTTGTAAGAAGCACTTGCTTCCTCACATTTTCTGGCCCATTTAAAAGTCCAATCCTATAGAAGAAAGCTTGACAACCTATTGTTTCCTTCTTTTTCATCAGTCTACACATCTGGCTCTTGTGATCTGGAAATCACAACTCCTAAAAGCCCATGTAAACCATAGAAGAATTGTAGAAACAATTCATACAAAAGTCCTCTTAAACCTTGAAGTCTGATGCACTTTCCAAACAGTAGACTAATTTGTACTACCTCTTTAAGAGGTAGAGAATTATTCCCTCCCCTTAATTATTATGGCAAGAAACTAAAACAAACAATCAAAAAAAAGGAAAAGAACAAAGAGAGAGAAAAATCTCTCCATCATTATTTCTGTAATGTGGTCCACCCTTGGCAGGACACAGTGTTTTCTAAAACCCTCAACCAGTCTCTTGAAGTTGTGTATTTTTCTATGTGATCTTTGCACCCTCTAGCGGTCTTTTCTTTTTAGCTCAGATGCCAGCAATACTGTACATTCTCCGGCCTGACGCCCAACCAGTCATCAGTACAATTATGTAGCACCTATTTAAGATATAATCCTGCTGGCATCTCTTAAGGCAAATTGTGGGCAGTCAAACTGACAATTCTGTTTAACAAACTGTAAACATGTCAAAACCCTGATAAGTTACACAATGAGAAAAACATTAGTATACACTAACCCTGACTTGGGAAAAATTAAAGAGTCTCTTGACTTGAGCTTGACTTCTGGTTGTCTTTATGAACACATCCCTATTGTTTTCATGGCAACTACACAGAAGTAGTTTGCTACTGCTGTCTTCCAGGGTTTGTTTGTTTTTTACTTCCCAGTGTAAACCTCTGTCCTGGACTTCCATGATGATTTCAATCTAAATACTAACAAGATTTTATCCTATTCGGCTTTATTAAAACCAAAGTTTTTTGGCCATTTGCTTAGGTAACTCTAATATATATTAACATTTTAACACCAAATCTACCAAACCGGTTAGAAGAGGTTCCACCAGTGGACCCGGAAAGCAGGCCACACCTACAGAAGAGGTTCCAAATTTTTTTGAAACCCACCACTTGGATATGATTATTCTACACTATCATGCTCATATTTATAAAACTCAGTGCCTCTGTGAAAGGTAAGGATGACTACTGCGTTTGTGGTGCAATCAGAACATTGCGTGTGTTGAAGTTGTTTTAACACAAACCAAAGATGCCTTTTAAAAAAACAAGTTTACATCATGTTCTTATGAATGCCAGTGCTGTGTGAGAGGTAATTTAAGGTGGTTCTGACAAGTGTCGTCGGCATCTTCATATCCAGTCACATGGGCAGCAAGCCACTCCCATCCGGTCACATGGGCGGCAAGCCACTTCCACAAAGGAGGCCACACCCACAGAGTAGGTTCGAACAATTTTTGAAACCCACCACTGAGAGCAGGGATGTCAAATTGGCGGATGCATCACATGTAGACCACGCCCACCCCAGTTCCACCAAGGGGGAAAAACATTGTGATATGTCACGTGACAGCAATGTAATGCCCTGGGTTTGACACCTCTGTTCTAGAGTATTTCTTACACCCGTTGTCCCCCAATATTCTACAGCCATGCAAAACTGCTTGGTATGCATCAATATAACCAAAGTACATAGGATTTACAGTTATTTATCTTTGGACTAGAAAATGGTTCAGCATCAGCTCTTTTTTTGGTTGTAACATGATCATGCCATCTTCTGAGAGAGAGAGTGACATTAGTGACAGAAATTAGACTACATTTGCTTTGTGCCCAGCCATAAGTCATATCTAAGAAATAGAAGAAATGGCAGGTAAAATCCAGTTTTCATCTCATTTCTTGCTTTCCACTCCTGAAGAAAAGAAGACCCGCCAACAATGTCTTCTGAATGAGCTCCCCTCTCACCTCAATTTGTCTTCATTCAAATGATCGATATTCAAGGGTTTACGGCGCTCAGTGAGGATCTTTTTCTTCTTTTCCCTCTCTGTTTGTTTCTTCCCACTTTTCTTCTCTGTCTAAAGAAACCAATTCATGAGTGACATCAGCGGCTGTCCAGGTCAGCCAAATTGCTTCCCTCCAGGGGTGAATCTGAGAAGTCACCTATGCATTAAATGGCCATTTCACAAAATGCAAAATGTTATGTGGATTAAAAGTAAAGATTAAAAAAAGTTTCAAAGGGCAAGCATTGCGAGTATGAAATTATTTTTATATATTAGTGCAGATCTTTCCAAGAGGAGAGGGAAGATGCTGAGTTCAAAATTTATGAATTTTGACCTTCATTTGCTTGACAAAGCACAGCAATTCCTCCAAGCAGATCTTTTGTTTGAAGGACCAGGTAAATCAAATCCAGTTCAAAAGTTTTTTAAAAAGAAGAATTAAAATAATTGGGGAGGAGAGGCTTTGAATTTGTAGTTAGAAACTGGATAATTAAAATATGGGTAGCAAATAGCTCAGATTGCATCATTTTATACTCAGATATAATATACTCAGATATAATATACTTCTGTTTAAATGACAAGTATTTGTGAAATGTGCCGTCATCCCTATAATTTAATATATACAGAGTTTATACAACTTTTTTTTTGCAATGGACTGTTACAACAGTCATATACCCACCTTCTGAAGGTAGCCTCCAAAATGAAGCATGTTGGAGAAAGCTTTTTTCTTCCTCTCATCCTCTTCAGTCCGCTTCCTGGCTTCCTCTTCCTCTTTTCGAGCTCTCTCTTCCTACCAAAAAAGGAGACGTTGATTTCAGAAGAATAGAGAATGTACAATAAAGTCAAATGTGTACCCAATAGATGCCACTAAGAAGACGATAGCAAATAAATGCAGTCTAATTCTTGCCATAGCCAGAACAGTGATAATTCTGAATTAATTCTTGTTTAAGTTGTCCAACTGCACCAAAAGACAATTAGAAAAAGATTTAATAGTTACAATTGGCTTTTCTCTCTATGAATTGAATAGCATTAGATTTAAGATTCCAGTTCCCAGAAAAAGAATTGAAGGATCAGACTGGATGTACAAAACTCTTACAGAACCAAATATAAATGGGACAAGAATTGTCATGTATTTGGAAGTATAGACAGTAATTGGTCAATTATTACCAGCTGATAAAATTTAGCACTTTATTTTTTATAAATGTAGTAATTTATATTATCAAACATCTAGCACCAACCTTTTCTCTGAATTAAAAGAAAATCAAGTGAATAGTGTATCATGTGGTATTTAATCATATCTTTATACAATAACTATGGGACAATAATTGTATCAAAGCCAGTGGTCACCTCCCAAAACAGTTCAGCTTGATGTTGAGTTAAACATTAATGTGAAAACAATTCAGTTATGTTTTGGCAAGTCAGTGTGAATGGAATATTAAGCATTAACCCAGAATGTTTGCTGACTGATATTATTGATAACTATTGAGAGTGAGAAAAGAAAATTACTTCCACTAGTAACACTTAGGAAACTACACCACAAATGTTGGATAGACTCACAGCCAGACGGGCCTGGCGTTCCTTCTCCCGCTCACTACGGATCCGTTGTTGTTCAGCTCGTTCAGCTCGTCGCTGCTCCTATATAAAGCAAGCTTAATTTTTAATATAGCTTCCTGAACAGTGGCCCAATAATTTAGGATTCATGTTAAAATTTGATACTGTCAATGGAGAAGGGACAAGAACTGTTGACACTTGCAGTACAATTTTGTCAGTTCAATTGAAGTGGCAAAAAAGTTATTATTGCAGATAAATCAAGACATTAATTGCAAATCATTTCTCCTAGCAATAAAGATGCTATATTATAACTAGCAATAGCAATAGCAGTTAGACTTATATACCGCTTCATAGGGCTTTCAGCCCTCTCTAAGCGGTTTACAGTCAGCATATCGCTCCCACAGTCTGGGTCCTCATTTCACCCACCTCGGAAGGATGGAAGGCTGAGTCAACCTTGAGCCAGCGAGATTAGAACTGCTGAACTGCAGATAACAGTCAGCTGAAGTGGCCTGCAGTACTGCACCCTAACCACTGCGCCACCTTGGCTCTTGGTGCCCTGAATGTACTTACTAAGGACATACATTTCTCTATGAATATTTTTTCTTACTAGAAATGTATAGAATTGCTTTAGCAATAAAGATCTGCAATTTTCTTTCCCGTTTAATACAGCAGTTCCCAACTTTCCTGCTCCATGAACCAGCAGTGGTGGCAGTGATGGGGGGGAGGGGATGGTTTCACCTGTGCACCAACACTTGCACAAATGAAGCTTTGTGTACTCGCACACTCGCCTGCCGCTTGTGAGATCCAGTTCTCAATCCTTCCCTATTAAGAAGAATTGTGCCTAGAATTACATATTGTTATAATCATCCATTACAAGCTGTTAATAAACCCAGTCTTGAACAACTGCAAAATCAGTGACTTTGATAAAACAGTTAAATAATTAGTAAGAGGGTTAGGAGAATTGGGTCTGACCATAAAGAGTGTCCAAATGAAAAGTATGAAATTCCAACATACAATTCTGTCCTTGAGGAAGATCAGCTCTTCTTCTTCCTTCTTCCGATTCTCAAAATGCGCCTCAATTAGACCTTGTAATTCATTCAGATCTTTTTCCATTCGCTTCCGGTGAATATCCTGCAGGGCAACAAGAGCATGAGCAAGATTTGGCATTGTTCTCTCAAGGACCTCTAGTGGTAAGAAAGAACTAGTTTGGGCCCTGGCAATGGCCTAAGAATACTCACATCAAAGTCTACTCTCTCTCCATCAGGGATCTTTGGAGGGATCAGATTAGGCGTGAACAACCTGAAATTAGAGGAAAACACAGATTAAAATGGGATCATACAATACCTGACCTTGATTTTATTCCGTCTCTTTCTGCATACCTACGAGTTCATGGATTCGGTTGCATTTCTTACATCCTTAGGCCAAATGTAATCCCATTGGTGTTGAGGAGTTTAATCTCCAAATTGAAATAAATTTATCCAAGACAATATAGGCAAAACTCATACACTGTAATATTGTTTTTATATTGTGTAAACTGCACATAAGGAAATAAATTCATTGTCACTTTTGAGATAAAAAAATATTTAATCTAGAAAATAGCATATCATGAAGTAGGTGAATACCTGTATAATTTACATATTGCTTGTTACAACTGATTTTTATTTTTATTTTGGAGAAGCCTTCAATTATATAATTGTCTTAACTATAAGCTACATGAAACAGTTTAGATCATGTGATGTTTATCTAATTGGATGACATTGATATAGTTCTTTTTGTAAACAAGAATGATTAAAATTTAGAGTAACTTCATTGTTTCCTAAAATTCTTGTTGCATTTACTGGTAGGTTTAAAAAAAAATGTTTTAAAATCTTTATTTAGCTGTGAGAAAATAATTGCACAGTGCCATTTAAAGGGCATTATCTTACATTTTAACCAAATGTGTCCATGACTAAAATATTTCTTAAAAACAGGAAAGTCTCAGTATCACATCCAAAATGTTAAAGGAATAAAACCATCTTATCTACAGTGGAAATCTAGAATAGGGCTAAAAATATAATAGCTGGTCTCAGAACTCGCCAAGCAAATTTTATTTTTATTAATTTATTTAAATAATGTAATGTTTATGGTCACCATTTCATTGCTGTGGTTATTTATTTACACTGATTGCCAATGTCTCTGTAATTTCAATTTATTTATTTATTGGGGGGGAGGAAGCACCAAATGAAACGTCACAATGGTTGCCATGGCTCCACCTGTCATTTCAGTTTTATTTCTCTTTACCCGATTTAGATGAAGTATTGAGCAGCTGTAATAACTTCATATCTGGCATTGGAATACTATCCTTGTGAGGGTTTCATCTAAGGCTGCAAGCCGCAACTGCTTTCCATCTGTTTCATCCCTTCTGTAGCTGACATTTTAAAAAAATTTAGATAACTTCCAGAACTACTTAAAAAGATTGTGTATTTTGAGTTATGCAATTCATTTTTAAAAAAATGTTTATTAGCTATATAACCATAATTTTATTGAAAATAAAATGAAGACACTTTCCCAAGATATATAAAATAATACAAACAAGGAAACACAACAGCAAAGAAATGCATGCAATTTTGGGTTTTAGTTGTTAGCTTTCCTGTAGTAAAACATTGGTATTTTTTTTTTTAATCAATGGTATTGAATAGTATGGGAAACAGCATTATCTGAAAAGCTGATGTAGAACTGAATCATGAAGAATCATTTAATTGAAGGTAAATGTTGTTCTCATTTAGTCTCAATTTTAATTATATCAGAACAATTCCTAATATTTCCTCCTAATAGAATACCTCTATCTATATATTTTTAAAAATAGAAATATCTGTTTAGTATGAGGTTTACAATTTGAATTTTTCTTTCATATGATAAAAAAGACTACTTTCTTTCATTTACATTGACTCTTTTTATTTTTTGGTCTTATCTTGTTTTATTTTCAATGTTTTATTGAACACTGTATTTTTAAACAACATAATTACTTATATAAAATACATATAAAAGGGGGGGGGGGGACTCTACTGTTTTCAATGGAATTTATTCCCAGTTAGTATATAAGCCTACAACAGAAATCTAAGGGCTTCTTCCAAAGTAGAGAATTGCACCTTATTTTTATGTGAATGCCCATAGGAGGTTTAGGTTGAAAACTGTGTTTATATTTATGAATATAAAGGACAATAACAATTTCATAGAATAAATACATTCATAGGAATTTAAGATAGCCAACCTGCTGGCCTGATCATTTATCAAACTTTTGAAGCCTAAGCGCAACCAGAACCCTCACTGTAGGAATAAATGACTCATCTGATGACCAGAGAGAATAAGAAGCAAGGATAGTTGATACCCTGACCTTAGGAGATGAAACTCGCATCATTCCAGTGTTTAATGGTTATGGTTAATTTGATCTAAAGTCTATCAACTTATGGATATATTGAGAATTCAAATGAAGGTCCTGCCATTTATAGCAGAGATTAGACGAGATGATAAAAGTATTGCAAGATTGCAAGAAGGTGCACAGAATATGGAGCTAAAAAGACTTAGTAGCTTAGCTGGTGCAGACAGCTGTTGATGCTGCAATGACATCTCGATAATGGAGGATCCCAAGACAGCTGCTGCATGCAGAGCACTCTGGGATCTCCTTGTATCAGGTTGCTCCAAAGCTTAGTTAATCACCCGAGGATTTCAGGTCTAAAGGACTGTGAAATGGATTGGTTGCAGCTATACTATAAATGGGGCAATCAATGCTAAATAGGACAGATTAAAGCATCTGAGTGACATGCAGCTAAGAGAAAGCAAGCTAAGAGACAACAGGGGTAGGACAGCTGATATTTATGGCTTCCAACTTCAGTCATCATGTCTATGTCTCTATTCTGTTTTTGCCTGGGTTTTGTTCTTTGGAATGCTGCTATGGGGAGAAGTAATTAAACAATCAAACCTTAGAAACCTTCTCTCCTTATTTTCTATTTTCCTTACAGGCCAACTATACCCTGAGGAGCAATGATGTAGTTGTATGGATGGCACATTAGTTTTGGCAACAATTTGAGTCCAGCTCCAACCTGAGTATTGGTCTCAGCTGAGCATGAGGATAGCCATGTTAGTTGTCCTACATGCATTGATTATGGGGGTGTCCTTGCCTGGCTGACCCACATGTATTGATTTATGAGGAGTTCCCAGAGTCTTGTGATTTTCTGCAGCATCTGGCTGCATAAATAGCCACATCAGGAGCCACTGCAACCCTCTTGTGAATCATTATTCACTTAAAAGGTTACCTATAGAATGGAAGACCTGCTGCCACTACATAAAAAGTGCACAGAAGACAACAGTTCCAGTGTCAATTTTTTTTATCTTTTCCTTTTTTCAAATTTTTATGAAAGAAAAAAAGAGAACAGAACCAATGGGAAAACATGGGCAGGTTATACATGAGACGTAATGGCATCTCATCTAAATCTATAAAATTCATTGAATGTTGCGAGGCAACTCTATGACAAAAATGTAGTCTAGAAACAAGTTATATTTTAATATATTTATGGTAACATAACACTCAAGGCATATGTACTTACTTGGGTTTGGGCTTTGATTCCCCTGCAATAAAAACAAGTACAAAACTATAAAACTTTATAAACACCATGCTATTTCTTTTGTGGATAAGCAGTATCATACAAAAAGGACTAATAAATGCTCAACAAAATGTGGTAGTAGTATAGTGGTATAGTGGTAAGAAAAAAACCCTCACTTTTTTCTCTCCTCCCCAACCCCCCCTTTCATTAATTCAAGTTCTTTATTGTTTACTCCCCTTTATATTCTAGATCAAAATTTTCTATATGTCTAATCATTACTGGAGGATTTCATGGAAATTTACCTCTACTCCCATCATGACTTTGATGAGTTGAGGCTTTCACTAACTGTTAAAGTGGTCTCTGTCTCAGTAAAGAGAAGGAGAAGACAATTACCAGTCTTAACAAGAGCCATGTGACTAGCAACATTTCCCATTAACAGTAAAGGGTATATTGGTCTGTTTTGCCATATTTTGGCTAGTATACCATAATCATTTTTTACCCCAAGCATGCTGAAGCTATTGTATGCATACTAAGATCTCTGATCTAGAGGCCAACTTAATGTTGCATCCCAACTAGAAGATTACTAGTTTACAAAATAAACAATAAAAACCATGTCTCCATTCGTTGTACTTAGACTTACTGTATATACTACTTCACAGTGCTTTAAAGTCATTCTCTTGGTCCTCTTGATCCATGGATGCTAAACAAGTCTAATATGACATATGAGCTAATCTTTGCTCAGCCTAAGCTAATATAAGAGCTCTGAGAATTTCAGCCAATCACTCACTCAGACTGTTATGACATACAGGTATTTCCTATTTACTTACCTTCTTCTTGTTCTTTAGCTTGCTCTTCTGGTTCTATTTTAAAAGAGGAGTAAAAAACTTGATTAGCACTATAGCACATTGCTACACCACCACTCCCTCTGGATGCATTTTATTGCTCATAAGCTATGCCTGAAATCATTCCTAGGATGCTTTGCAGTTCATCCACTCATTCCTGAGAAAGCTCACATTACTGACATTCTGGTTTGTTTGATAATCAGAGTCAGTAGCATCTCCATTTCTAATTTATTGTAACATCAAAACTGGACTAGATTATAATGTTATGAGCACCTGCAAATATAGATATACCATCAAAGTGACTTTCAATTAATAAAATGCTACTTTTCATAAATATTTCAAAGTACTTGTTCCTTCCGGTGAAAGTGTTAGTATTCCCCTTTTAAAACCTACGTATAAAGAAAGGGAAAATAACACATAGTCAGCATAGAACATTAGATATATAGTTTATCTTTTCATGTTGTGGATATCCATACAACTATCTGTTTTAGATATAATAATTGCTAGTTTCAACAAAACCTTGATTTTCTCAAATAGCATTATGCTTCCATGCATAGGTGAAGAGACCTGGGATGGGAAAAGGGAATCAGCTAATGATTTCATTAAGCACAAATTACTTTCTTCGGTTTCTGAGCTGTCTTATAATACCCATGAAACATAAACTGGGAGAAGTAGGGACGTTAATGATTTATATATAACTGTGAAGCTTTATAAAAATGTAGTTATAGATCTCATACATCTCTGCATTGTAAAAGGGCATATTGTCATACCCATAACCCCCATCCCCAAAAAGTATCACCCCAAAACTGGTTTAGCAGAAAATCACTGCATGCCTTCTGCTATGGCTTCTTCTGCATCTTCCTTGATTTCTTCCACTTGTTCGTCGTCGTCTTCTACAAAATAGAACACCAGAATAACCACCAAATGCAAGTATACAGAGATGAACCAATAAAAAGAAATATTTGAATATATTAGTGTCAGGATATGGAAAGTTGGTGAAAGAAGAAGAGCTGAAAAAGAGAAAAGTCCCCCCCCCCAAAAAAGAGAGAGAGTGGGGAAACAGCAGTCCTGTGGTTATGTGTGACCTTTAGCTCAAATTGATGAGGTCCTTGGTCTGATTTCAATGACCGTTTTCAAGCAAGCAATTCAGACCTCTGAGAGGAGCAATATTTTTCCTCAGTATGAGGAAAGAAAGAAAAGAAAATGTTAGAAACAGAGGAGAGAGAAAGAGACAGGAGGATGTTGAAAAGGGGTGACTGAGAAAGAGGGAGCTTTGTTCAATTTGCTTCTGGTTCTACCCATCACTGATTTGTGATTCCAATAACTCCTAAAGAAATCTGCCCCTCTCCAAAATGCCCATTAGTTACATTTTGATTCAGTTATAAATGTCTTTCATGATGATTAAGGAAAGGAGACAGAATTCTGGGATGATCTGAGATTTCAATAAGGCATTCTTTAAATATCTAGGGCCTAGATATTTAGATTCTAGGCAGATTCCTCAGGATACATCTAAGTGGACACTTCCCACTTCCCCATTCCCAATGCATTCCAAAACAGAATAACTGTTAAATTAAGGAAACAAATAAAGAATAGAGCAAACAATGTTCAGCATATTAGAACATCTACCAATACAATAAAGGAAAATTATAGGCAAGTTGTACCTTTTTAGTTAATGATTTTTTTAAAAATTTAAAATAAGTTAGATATAATCAGAATTCCATAATTATAATGAATGCTGAAGAAAAATGGGCAGAAACATTTTTTTCTCCTTTTGGTAATTTTACAGTCTTTCATTTCTGCAATATAGATCGGATGAATTAATGTATGCCAAAAATCTAGTGAAGCAAAAAAAGAATTGCAGACAGAGAACTTTGTGTAGGAGCTTGTTCCACTATCTGACAATTCATATGGTTTGCAGCCTAAACTTATAATTTTTAGCCAGTGATTCTAAGCCTCCTTTATGAGCAATAGAGAATAAATCCATTCAATCTTCTGTATGATAACCATGTAGATAGTGCCAAGATATCATTTAAGTTAGATCAACTTTCAGTCCTGAAATGGAATATTAGGATTTTCCAATTCTATCTTATTACACATGAAAATGACTTTTGTTATATGGAAAATACTATTTTCCTTCCTCAGTATTACAGTTCCCATTCTTAGACCTCGTTATGTTTGTGGTTTAAGTAGTCCTACTGATATGTATATTGTATATTTCAGTTAAGTATGGTCCTTCCATACATGAATGAATAATAAATATTCCTATTGTAACATGAAGAAATACTTATAAAGTAAAATGAAAATAAAGGTTCTACTACCGTCATCCACCTCTATCCATTCTTCCTCTTCTTAATCAAGGCAAGCAGGGTGGTGAAAGGGAATAAGTACAGAAGGTTAGCAAGGATTATAAGAAGCAGTGGTATCAAAATAAAGTATCTATAAACAACTAGGTGTTATGCTTCAGTGCTGGTTTGTTTGTTGCTGTTGCTGTTGTGCACATGACTAGAGTTTAGGTGCCAAGCATTTATGAAGCCAGGCATTAACAAGAAAATGGGATATTAAGGGCTAAACAATCTAGGATATTCACATATTCATGTACAAACAGATATCAATATTTTGCCATCACTTGGATAGTTAGAAAACATACATGTAAAATTGAAAGTGTCAGAAAACTAATTTCAGACCGAACAGAATTTCAATGTCCTTGTTTCAATTCATTTTATATAAAAGTAACAGTGCATGTTTCAAAAACTCCTTAAAAGTGGTTCGAATCTTTTCTGAATCTTTAGCCCTCTCTGCTAAAGCAGTTGGATTTTTGTTCAGTATCCTGTGGAGCCTGAAATGGAGATTGGAGGGGGGGGGGGTGTCATGTGATTTTTAAAGGGCAACTTCCCAGATTGTTGTGGGCAATATGCTGACTTTGTAAACAGCTCAGAGAGTGTGGTAAAGCATTATGGAGCGGTATATAAGTCTAAGGGCAATTGCTAGCAATTGCTATTGCTACTAAGCTAAAGGAGTCTCTTTTCAGTCATAGCCTCGTATTTCTTTTTGAAGATCGGTGCCAATTTTTGTACATCATTATTGTTGAATGAGGAGGAGGAGGGTTGCAGAAGGTGTGCTAAAAGAAAGAAGAGTGGAGTATATATTTTTTTCAACTTTTGATGGAAAATCATAAGGACTTTAAAAACTATGGTTTCATGTTGTCATTTCCATGAATTTACTATCTTTATTTGACATTGGAAGTTATAATTTGCAATTTTGGGTTGTTTGTTATGGTTCCGCTTTTAATGAATTCTGATTGGCTAATAGATACTAGCTGATCTACAAAAATATTTTAATTGCTTATTTGACCACAGGAGGGAGCTAAAGAACATCAAATACATCTAAAACTGAAAGATTGCAAAAATTATTTTTGAGGAGTAGCCCTTAGCAATAGCACCTAGACTCATATACCACTTCATAGTGCCTTACAGCCCTTTCTAAGAGTTTATAGAATCAGCATATTACCCCCAACAATCTGTGTCTTTATTTTATCAACCCCAGAAGGATGGAAGGCTCAGTCAACTTTGAGCCTGTGAGAATCAAACTGCTGGCAATCGGCAGAATTAGCCTACAATACTGCATTCTAACCACTGCGCCATACTGCATTCAAACCACTGCGCTACCATGGCTCCTATTTAAATAAAATAATTCATTTTATAGATCCAAAGATGTCATAAAAGAGGAACAAGGGGAAGAAATTATTCAAATAACTGGAAGAAAGGTGAGTAATCCAAAGATGCAATCAAGTACAGCAAGTTATCAAACTATTGAAGCTACTGCACAAGTATTTGACAATACATAGGACGTAACCCTAATTTTGGAATATAGATCTGACAGCAACAGTGCCTACTATGAAGAAGGTTTAATTACAAGTCCCCAGTGCAACTATAATAAGAAGAGTTGCAAGTAAATCTACAATCCTCAGAAGAATAAGTTCGGAAATCTCCACTTCAAAATCAAAGTGGCATATTGACATATTTTTTTAATATTCTCATATTGGAGAATCTCTTAAGAAAAGTTTATATTTTATAAACATTCCAAAGAAAAAAATGTTATATTTTATCAGAATAAACTGGAGTCATAAACTTAATAAATTAATTGGAGTTAGGATAATTTTCTATTGGTTTGACATATGTAATTAAATGTAAGTTCCAATGCATTGTTTTGTGCTTATAAAGTGGGTTCTAAAATGAAATAAATATGTTATTGTTAATGTAAAAAATGTTGAAATCAAATTTGGAAAGTATTTATGTTGAAGAGGAAGAGAGGAAGAATACACACATATACAGACACCTCTCCCTCTCTCTCCCTCTCTCTCTCCCCACCCCCTCTCTCTCCTCTTTTTTTAATCCTGCTCTTTCCCCATGTTGGAGAAGGAATGGAATTAAAAGAGGGATTATCCTAGAATCCCTACATCACCACAAGTAAGATAAATCCAACCTCCCTTTAATTCCATTAACCCTCACCTAACCCCAAGCAGGTGTTAATTGTTAGTTGAATAAGGTATTAGCAATAAATCAGTTTAATTGAATCTTTACTTGATCATATCATTCATGCTTGACACACACTTATCTCAATCTTTATTTTCATTGTATTTTATGCAATTATAAACTTTAATAATACTTCCATTCAAAAAACATAGAAAGTGTCACAGCACAGGAGAGAAAACAAGTGACATGAAACAAAATACATTCAGAATACAAATGTAATACAAAAAAAAAAACAAGTACAAGAATCAGAAAGATATGCAATACTAATTATATTAACAAGTTAAATGCAACTTATTTCTCTTATCTGTGATAAGTTGCCTGGACTTACAGTACATTGATAAAACCTCTATGAAATATTTCCTCCAAATCTGCTTGTTTAGATTGTCAGGAAGGATTTTATAAACATATTAATAATAATGATACTTACTAACTTTTGAATGTCTATAATAATGTTATAAAACTGACAGTACTTAAGCCAGCTTCTATTTCTCTCTGCCTATGCCTATCTATTTTTTCCTTCCCAGTAAAGAAAAAAATGGCATAGTTGAATCCTTCCTTTTTTAGTAGAAATAGTATTTGTTAAAAGTACATAGATTTTTGTTCTTGCTGTACAGGAGAAATTGTGCCAAATGAATTATTGCCTTTCCTGTATCACAACACTTTTTTGTTTTGTATCTTGGGAAAATCTTGTTTTGTTGTTCACTGTGTTTCTACGTTCCTTTAAGAGACATAAAACTATGACTTTTCTATTAACAACAGAAACTTACCTTGTTCAATACAGTCTTCTGCAGCAAGATAAACCAAGAAAGAAAGGAGAAAAACATTAGAGCTTTTTAAGAATATCTGAAAAACCTACCCAACATGATTGTTTTCATTGCCTTACCTTCCTGTTCCCTGTAAAAGAAAAAAGGAAAAAATACTAGATTAGAATAATGCCTGAGCTTTTCTTTTCTTAAAGCAGGATAGAAAACAGTTTTCCCAAAAAGATCTTAGTCATAATCAGCTTCAAGTTAAGGAGTCATGTCAACATCTTGCTGTCTGAACAAAAAGTCTTATGACACAGAAGCACATCAGCTTATTAGTAATCAATGGGCCAAGAAGTCTTTGAACACTTCCATAGCAATTCTTGACATCACTTTATTATTTTATTTGTTAAGTAAATGTATTAAGTAAATTTATATTTTTTAAGTAAATGTGTTTGTTAAGTCAGTTTATACTGCCCAAAGTCACTCTGGGTAGTATACACTAAAAAATGAACAATAAACAAAACAAAACAAAACCCAAATTACATAACATTGATTGTTTGTTTGTTTGTTTATTGGATTTATATGCTGCCCTTCTCCCAAAGGACTCAGAGCGGCATACAACATAAAAAAACCACATATTACAAAAGTTAAAAAGGAAATTAGATAAAGTATCCAAAAACAAACCCAATTAATATTAACAATAAAAATTTAAAAATTAGATTAAAATTAACAATTAAATTAATCATTTATTTTATTCTGCTCAGATAAGGCTGGCTTGTTGGAAAAGCCAACTTTTTAGGGTGCGTCAGAAGGACCGGAGGTCGGGGATTATACGAAGCTCTGGGGGCAGCTCATTCCAGAGGGAAGGGGCTCCCACAGAGAAGGCTCTCCCCCTGGGGATCGCTAGCTGACACTGTCTGGCCGACAGCACCTTGAAGAGGCCAACTCTGTGGGATCCCACTGGACGGTGGGAGGCTACTGGTGGCAGTAGGTGGTCTCGCAGGTACCCTGGGCCTAAGCAATGGAGCGCTTTAAAGGTCATAATTAGTACCCAGAAAACAACTGGCAACCAGTGCAGGCTGCCTAAAAGGGGTGTAACATGGGAGCACCTAGGTACCCCCATGATAACTTGCACAGCCGCATTCTAGACCAGCTGAAGCCTCCAGGTGCTCTTCAAGGGCAGCCCCATGTAGAGAGCATTGCAGTAGTCCAGGCGAGAAAAGACGAGGGCATGAGTGACTGTGCACAGAGCATCCCAATCCAGGAAGGGGTGCAACTGACATACCAGGCGAACCTGGTAAAAGGCCCCCCTGGTCATGGCCATCAGGTGTTCTTCTAAACTAAGCTGCATATCCAGGAGGACTCCCAGATTGCGGGTCCTCTCTGAGGGGGGTAAAATTTCTCCCCTTATCATCAAAGATGGAACAAGATGCATAAATCGGGATGACGGAAACCACAGCCACTCAGTCTTGGAGGGATTGATCTTGAGCCTGTTCCTCCCCATCCAGATCTGCACAGCTTCCAGGCATCGGGACATCATGTCGAGGTATCATTTGGGTGGTTTGGGGTAGAGATGAAAAGTTGGGTATCATCAGCATATTGATGATACCATACTCCAAAATCACGGATGATCTTGCCCAGCGGTTTCATATATATGTTGAACAGGAAGGGTGAGAGAACCGACCCCTGGGGCACCCCATAAGTGACACACCTTGGGGTCGATCCCTGTCCTTCAGTCAACACAAACTGCAACCAATCTGACAGATAGGAGGAGAACCACTGTAAAATGGTGCCCCCCACTCCCAACCACCCGAGTCATCGCAGTAGGATACCATGGTCGATGGTATTAAAATTCACCGAAAGGTTAATATGACCAGGACAGAGGAACAACCCCTGTCCCGGGCCCGCCAGAGATCATCAACCAATGTGACCAATGCTGTCTCCATGCTGTACCCCGGCCTGAAACTCAACTGAAATGGATCAAGGTAGGCAGCTTCATCCAGGTACTGGGGAAGCTGACATGCTACCACTCTCTCGACAACTTTCACTACAAAGCAAAGGTTGGAGACCAGACGATAGTTGGCTAAAGAATCTGGGTCTAGGGAAGGCTTCTTAAGGAAGGGCCTCACCACCACCTCCTTCAAGGCAGTGGGAAAGAACCCCTCTCTCAATGAAGTGTTGGTAATCGCCTGGAGTCAGCCTCATGTCACCTCCCGGGAAGCCGAAACTAACCAAGAGTTCAGCACACAAGTGGCAGCAGTGAGTCACCCCATAATCCTGTCCATGCCCTCAGGGGTCACAGGATCAAACTCATCCCAAGTCTCTACATGAGTCTCTACAAGATTCATCTCCGTTGACTCACCCAAATCTACCCAGTCAGTGTCCAAGCCTGTCCGGATCTGAGCAATTTTATCCTGCAGGTACTGAACAAATTCTTCAACCCTACCCTGCAAGGGGTCTTTCCCAGTTCCTTGGTTAAGTAAGGAGCGGGTCACCCTAAGCAGGGTGGCTGGGCAGTTATCCACAGACGCGATAAGAGCGGAAAAATGTTGCCATTTTGCCACTTTTATCGCCACTATGTAGGATTTAATATGAATTCTTACAAGTGTTCAATCAGATTCGGATCAGCTGGCCCTCCAACCACTCTCTAGGCTTCTTTCTGGTGTTTCATCTCCCAGAGCCCCTCGGTAAACCAGGGAGCTACCCAGAATCAACACCGGGTCAGAGGCTGCAAAGGCACAAAGTGATCCAAGGCCCCAGTGGCCACCCTATCCCAGGCTTCCACTAGGGCTTCAGTCGAGCTGTGAGCAAGGGATTCAGGAAAAGTCCCAAGCTCCATCAGGAACCTTTCAGGGTCCATCAAGCACCTGGGGCGGAACCATCTAGTCAGTTCTGCCTCCCTGCGGCGATGGGTAGAAGTATGGAAGTCAAGCCTGACGAGGAAATGATCAGACCATGACAAGGGTTGGATAGAAATATCCCCATTAACATTAAAACATATAAGCTGTTTCTGTGAAAATAAGCCCTTGCCAGATAATAAGCCCAATTGGGCTTTTGAGTGCATGCACTAAAATAAGCCCTCCCCAGAAATATTGCAACACAGCAGCAACCACACTTGCCGCCTCCTGCAACTCAAAAAAAATAAGACTATGTCTTATTTTCAGGGAAACACGGTACTATATATGAAATCAGAAATATAAAATTGTAACCGAATACTTTGGGATTGATTCCTGGTTGATTTCATGATCACAGTGTCTATTTTTGGGGAGCTGGCTCGATTTATTTGTCCAGAACTCTACCTGACAGTAACTTCTATAAACATACTTCTGCTAAGGTAGATGTCCTATCTCAGAAGTTATCTCATCTCAAACCTCATCTGAACAACTTATTTCAGTTGACTCTGAAGCAAAACCAAAACCAACATCGATTTACAGGTTGTAGGTTCATTGAGATTACAATATGGGATCTTTTTTTTTTTTAAAGGCACACCCTGTTCTTTCCGCTGTATTCTTGAGTGATCTTGTGAGATGTTTCTTTATGCAAATTTTGTAATTATATTATACACATACAGTCATTGTGATCATGTATGTGAGCGTTTTCAAATAGTGATTGATGCTTACTCGTAAGTACAGTTCCTAGGCCAACAAACTGCTACCAAACTTCAGCAACATCCTAGAGAATCAAATAGTGTGATTGGTATAAATTGAGGTTCAGGGGCATTAGAAGTTTCTTCTGATGTTGTAGGTCTTAAAGCAACTATCTGCACTCACCCAATAGTTAAGAGAGAATGGCAAACTACGGAGAATTCTAGCAGCATCTTCTCCCACCTTTGCAGTGATAATTTAAAAATAAAAATGAAGCAAAATCTTGCAAGTGAAAGGTTAATAATGAACCGATCTGCTTATAAGTACTTTGGAGATCAAGAACTCAGTCTTTTTGTAACAAAGCCAGATTACAGCTGGTTCTTCATTGAAGAGTTACGAGACAGGATGAGGCAGATGTAGCAAGATAGTCTTGATCTCATCTCTAACACTGTGCGACTTCTGTCTGTGAAGCTTCACCACTTTAAGATAAGGTTATAGTGATTTTGGGCTTCACTATTTCATTCCTTTTTCTGAACAGAGAAACTATTTGCTAGAAAGTTAACTAGTTTACATGAATTCATGTTTAATGTTTATATTTTGGACTTCAGAGGAATAATCTTTAGCCTGGAAGTAGCATGAAGTCTATTGGATATTTTAATGCATGAGTTCATGTTATGCAGCAACTGGAGATGCAGCTCAAATAACAGGAATAGGTATTGGTTGCATGGAGCCAGGAGGAGCCAGATAGTTCTGAAAGATTTTTTCTCCCCCCAGTAGTCTGGTGAGGTTTTACAGCTGAAGTCATGACCCCGTGAGAAACTGTTCAGTGAATTGAATTGAGGGTGTACAAGAAACTGAGAAAGTGTGAAAGAATAGGAGGAACCGGGCATCCAAATGGTATGAAGAACTTCCAAAATTGCAAACATAACCAAGTGAAAAGCAGCCCAATGACTGCCAAGATATGTAGACTGCTGTGACCTTTCAGTGGTTTCTGATTATTGTATTTATAGTTTTTCCCGAAGACAAAATATTTCAAACTACTATAATCTTCCCTACTTGTAAAGACTTGTAATTATTACAAAGGATCGGTATCAATTAAATTACCGTTATTTTTAGAATAAACTGGCACATATAAAGGTATATTAGGGGTATTGAATATCCCTAATTATTCCTAGTTGCAATTTAATATTAATAAGTTTTGCATCAGGCTCCATGCCTTGTTACCCTCAAAAATGCCATGCCCAGTATTGCTGTGATTAACTCTATCAGTGCTGAAGGCTGTTGCTGGGATTAAGCCTCACAATCATCATGACTCAAATATGAGTTTCCCACATTCACCTGGATAGCCAGAATTGAAGAGAGTGAACTGAATGGACCATTATGTTGATTACAGTGACAGGCAATTTTTATGAACTTGTTCTTTACATGCTTTCCTTAAAGAGGTGTTTTAGAAAGAAATAAAAAAGAGGGCAAAATTTGCAAAAAGGTATGTATATTAATGAGGGACACGGTGGCTCAGTGGCTAAGATGCTGAGGTGGTCAATCGGAAGGTCGGCAGTTGAGGAGTTCCCTAGTGCCGCTTAATGGAGTGAGCTCCTGTTACTTGTCCCAGCTTCTGCCAACCTAGCATTTCGAAAGCACATAAACAATGCAAGTAGAAAAATAGGGACCCCCTTGGTGGGAAGGTAACAGTGCTCCGTGCGCCTTTGGCATTTAGTCATTCTGGCCACATGACCATGGAGACATCTTCAGGCAGCACTGGCTCTTCAGCTTAGAAATGGAGATGAGCACTGGCTCTTAGAGTCAGAAACGACTAGCACGCATGTGTGGGGGAACGTTTACCTTTACCTATGTATATTGAATTATATTTATGGGTACATATTTAGAAATAATATATCATTTAAATGACATTGGAATATACTTTATCTTGGTGGTTATGACGGTGAAAAGGTAATGTAATGCTTGCTCAGTCTACCATCAAGAACTACTGCCGAAGAACAACTTTTCTCCCTCACAAGATTCTTTATGTTATATTCAATTTGTAATGGATAGAATACACAGACAACACTGTCAAATAGAGTCATATCATCTCTGAAATAATACATCCTAGCCAGAGGTAAAAATTAGAGATCAAGATTTAGAAGGCGGCTCAAAGCCAACCCCTAGAGCTACCAGATCCTTCTGTTCCTCCTTGTTTTTTATTCATGTTGCTGATTCTATTTCTTTTTCTCTTTCATGTGCTAGCTTCTGACAAATAAGCAGAGAAAATAGGGGGGGGGGATAGAACTGACTTGCAAATGTTTTCCATTGTCTTTGGTACTTATCAAAGGCCCTTCAAAAGTATTGCATCAAGAACTTGGTGTCACAGTAATTAGAATGCAATATTGCAGGCTAATTCTGCTGACTGATTGCAGTTTGATTCTGACTGGCTCAAGATTGATTCAGCCTTCCATCCTTTCGAGATTGGCAAAATGAGGACCTGAATTGTTGGGGGCAATATGCTGACTCTGTAAACCACCTAGAGAGGGCTGTAAAGCACTGTGAAGTGATATATAAGTCTAAGAGGTATTGCTATTGACAACCCTAGAAACAGCGATACTTACCATGCAAATAGCTTCCAAGAAGGGTGGTGGTGTACTTTCACGTTTGCTGAGTCCATAGACATACAATAGCTATTGTCTTCCTCAGTCATCAATCTTTTTCTCAAAGGATTTCTTATTACTCAAACTGTCTCATAGTTGTAATTCCTAACCATTGTTTATAAAGGAACCAACCAAAACTGCACTCATTATTGTGAGCAATAGCAAAACAATAGCATTAATGGCCTGCTGGCCTTCTAAATTTGAAAAGAATGACAAACATTTATTTTATTCATTTTTCATATTTGTGTTTCAGTCATCTCGGTCAAAGAGGGATTTGCACAACAAAAATCACTTACTCTTCATATTCTTCAATGACTTCTTCAGTGTCTGACATTTTCAGTTACCTGCCATTAAAAAAGAAGCAAAATAAAGTTTCAGTAGATATGAAAACGCTGGAATATGCCCTAAGTACCATCTAGAGCAGTGTTTTTCAACCACTGTGCCGTGGCACACTAGTGTGCCGTGACATAGTGTAAGGTGTGCCATGGGAAAATTACTTTATATATAGTCAATATAGGCACAGAGTTAAATTTTTTTAACATTTTCTAATGGTGGTGTGCCTCGTGATTTTTTTCATGAAAAAAGTGTGCCTTTGCACAAAAAGGTTGAAAAACACTGATCTAGAGAGTGCTTTTAAAAACAGAGATATGGAAATTAGTGAAGCAATCTAAATTGGACGATATCTGGACCAATAGTCACCAAATGCCTGCTTGACCCAAAAATCCTATCGAATTGACTGCAAAAAGTAGGCAGATTTAACACAGTTTGAAGGAAGCCATAGTACCTCAGTGTCAAGTGGAACTTCAGTTTTTAATGCACAGTAATAAGCCAAGTGTATATAGAGGCTGTGTGCACTAATGCCGTATCAGCCATATGATACTTGAAATTGAGGAAAAGTAGCCTTCATCAACCTGATGTTCTCCAGATAAGACATTTCAACTCACATAATGTCTTCCTGCTTTCTGGGAATTTTGATGTGTTTGGAGAGCACCATTTGGGAAAAGCTGAAAGCTGAGGATGCAGAATTTGAGTGAACCTGTTCAGTGATATAATAGTGACTGGGTGAGTCTCAACAATAGATAAGCATAGCTGCTTAACTTTGGTTCCAAAATAGTGAGACTTCATTCACATATGGGTCAGCTCACTAGCTAATAGTTCATCCATGTAAAAGTCTCCTGAGAAATTAATGGTCAACACTTTAGGCATAAGCTATTTTCCCAAAACTAAAAGTTCAGCATTCGTTATATGAGTTTTTTGAGGTCTTGGTGATGAAATAAGACCCTGTAAGTAGATCAAAACCAAGCCATAGAGGGCTTTATAGGTTAAAACCTGAATTTTAAATTGCACCCAGAAGTAATAGGATGCCAGACCATGGCTCACAGGGCAGGTGTATCATGAGTACACCATTAAATACCTGTGATAATGCTCACTGGGTTTTGCAATAACTGAAATTTTCTGTTGATCTGTTAAGGCAATAGCAATAGCAATAGCAGTGGACTTATATACCGCTTCATAGGCCTTCCAGGCCTCTCTAAGCGGTTTACAGAGAGTCAGCATATTGCCCCCAACAATCTGGGTCCTCATTTTACCCACCTCGGAAGGATGGAAGGCTGAGTCAACCCTGAGCCGGTGAGATTTGAACCGCTGACCTGCTGATCTAGCAGTAGCCTGCAGTGCTGCATTTAACCACTGCGCCACCTTGGCTCCATGTAGGATGCTTTGTGGTAGTCTAACTGGGTGGTAATAAGGGCATGAGCTACAGTAATCAGATCTCCCAGTTCTGAATAAGGTTGCAACTGGGCAAAGGCCTCCTGGGCCGCAGCCTCCAACTGTGAATCCAGGAGAAACTCTAAGTTGCAGACCTGCTAATTCAGAGGCAATATAATCAGGTCCAGAACAAATCAATGGGTGTAGAAGATGTAGAAACATCAGCTCCAACTCGAAAGGAGCAACTTAAACTTGTTCTATCCCATCCAGATCTCTTAAGCCTCCAAGTAATGGAACAAGACTTCAACAGCATCCCCAGTCTGGGGATCATAATGTACAATTCAATATAAACATCAGTATATTGATGGTATTGGTCCCGAAAGCACTAGATCCTCCTAATGGCTTCATATGACTGTAAATAATGAGAGACAGAGAAAGAGATGGAGACAGAATGATCCTGCACCACGCATAAGGGAGAAGCCACTGTGCCAAAGTTCCCTCCCAACCAAAGCCAAGTAGAGGCAACCACTAAAGAAAGAGCTAAATCACTGAAAAACAGTGCTTCAAATCCCCAATTGCCAGAGCCAATCCAAAAGGATACCCTGGTTGATGGCATCAAAGACTGTAGATGTCCTGAACAGGTCCCAATACAGTAGAGCAATTAATGCCTTATCTTCTTCTTGTAGAATGGCTTGTTGTTGGTCCTGAACCACCATCTCAAAAATCTTTACTAAGAATGGAATGTTAGAAACCAAATGGTAGTTATCTAATACATTCAGATCTCTTAAAGAAAGGGAAGATCCACACCTCTTAAGGGCTTTCAGCATCAATCTCTCTTACAATAAAACATTCACAGCTTCCCAGATATAACAGAAACAGGATATTTGTAACCATTTGGAAACTGTTCTATCCATTCTCATGATGACAGCAAAGTGCAACAGCTAACTAAATCTACGACTAATTCCACAGCAGTATATGTGAAAGCTAGACAAAGATAGTCTTAGGAGAAAGAAAGTCTATTTGGGGATAAGAGATGAAAGGGAAGAAGCGAGTATGTTCTCCCTAAAACCCTTGCCCAGCCAAAGGTTGTGTGTGTGTGTGTGTGTGTGTGTGTGTGTGTGTGTGTGTGTGTGTGTGTGTGTGT